AAGAAGCTCCGCCCACCTTATTTCCATAACGAGACAGAAATGCATAAGGTAAAGTAAAAACAGGAGACAGAGAAACCAACACATGGAAATAAAAAGGCTTGTGGGTATTTATTTATGTATTTATTGGTCCATTTATTTATTTTTGCTTTTATTTCTGATTATGTCAGTTTTGGTCCTCCATAGAAAATAACGTAAAATTGTAAAGAAATCTATTTTATACAGGGTTACTACAGCTTAAAACAAGTTAAATTTAAGACATTTTAAGGCTAATTAAGGCCTTATTTTTGGATTGATGAATTCAATGCCTTTTAATGCTTTTTAAGGATCTGTAGGAAACCTGTTATATTTAACGTTGTGTCCTAGTTTGTTATGTGACTTCAGGGTGTTCAACAAGCAAAAAGAACCATAGCGTGAAAAGCATGAACAGATAATGTTCCACTAATATATTTATAATTTCTTTGTTTAAACACCAGATTTGTTTGACCAGATGAGCTACACACCTGCAGCTGATAGGCCATCTCAGACTCAGCCTTTTTGGTGTTCACTTCAATATCATAAGCTGCCTTCTTCAGCTCGTAGTCCCTCTGGGCCTTCGCCATGTCAATCTCATTCCTGTACTGAGCCGAGATTTTCTCCTGCATCGCATGAGCTTCCTGCAGGGAGAGACGCAGAGAAATGAGAGGAGCAGGAGGATCAATGAGATGAACTCCTCGGGGAAGAAGGAGAGCTGTAGAAGARGCTAAAAATAGAGCAGGGATGAACAGATCTGTGATGGAAAAACCACTTAAAAACTAAAACAAAATGCTGAACAAAACAATCCAGTTTTAGCTTTTTAAATAAATAAATAAATAACGCCGCACAGCAAAGAGGCTGTTTGTGTTGGTGATGACCTCACCCTGATCACAGCGTCCCTCTTGTTCTGGGCCTCCCCGATCCGAGCGTCCTTCTGCACCTGAGCTGTTCGGCCTTTTCCCAGAGAGTGCAGATAGTCCTGTTTCAAACGGAGAAAAAGAACTGGTTGTTACAAAATCACTTTATTTTAAAGATCAAAGAGATTTATAACTATTTCATAAATGAGACTGAAGCCCACCTGGTCATCGTGGACGTCCTTCAGCGTGTAGCTGACCACGCTGATGCCCATGTTGACCAGGTCAGACGACGCCACCTTGAAGACGTGCTCAGAGAACTTCTTCCTGTCCTTGTAGATTTCCTGTCAGACAAAAAACTGGGCTGAGAAACCCGCAGCGGCTCTGCATCATGGAAACAGCTGCCAGTGATGCAGAAATCAATAACTGACCGTAAAGTGTGTGCATTAATGTGCATTCTGTGTGTCCAGCTTGCAGTTTTTCTGTTTTATAGCAGCTATTTGTTTTACCTCAACAGTCAGGTGGGCTATGATGGCCCGCTGGTGTCCCTCCAGAGTCTCCAAAGCGATTTGAGCGATTTCAGCCTCCGACTTCCCCATAAACATCTGGCAGGCTGCAGCCAGCATYTGTTTGTTCTGACCCTGGATCTTCATCTGCAGAATGAAAATAAAACGTTTCATGAGTACACAACATGATTTCATGTGCACAAAAACTATTTYCAGAAAAAATCTGGAGGTTTCTAAAACCAAAACCTGTAGTTTAAACATTTATKTAATGGGTAAGTGTACAAATTAAATCATTTTTTGACCAACTTTATTRTATTTAACAAATGATTTTAATACATTTTTATGATATATAAAATAGTTAGTAAGTTTTTAAATCTTTGATAAATGCTCCTTTATTACCAAATACTGACACCTTCACCTGTCACCTATTGATTTTATGATCATAACAAGGTTGATTAGTGAAAAAAGTATATTTAAATAAAACTTCCCAAAATTTAAAAAAGCAAACACATTTAAAGAGTTTGCTGTATTTTTGAAAACGTTAGTTTAGCAAAGACAAAACCTTCTAATAAATTTGAATATATTTGTTTGTTTAGCTGTGTTTACATGACACCGTATCTGTTTTCCTCACGATCCACCWGTTTATCAGCTCGTTCTGCATGAGCCTGCTGTTTAACGCTCACTGACCTGAGCGATCCCGGTAACAGAGATGGGAACTCCGTGGCGGGTGTAGACCTTATCACTCTTCACGTTCAGGGTCAGAGTGTTCAGAGAGATCCTGCAGGGGCAGAGGAAGACATAAAGAGGACGGTTGATGGACGGGAAGCTGCTCTAATGGGAGCAGAACATTAATGTCAGGTTTCAGGTTTGCTTCTGGAGAAGCTCTCAGGAGATAAAAGCCAGATGCAGAACTCAGATCAAGCATTAACTTTGTCAGGAGGTTAACTGGATTGAATAAACAGACCTGTTTGGAGCTGCTGCAAATGCAAAAGTCTTTTTAACCATTTCAAATAATCAATTTTTCATCATTTCATTACAATAAGGCTGTTTTATTGCTTACTTTTGCTGTTTATTGCAAATTAGTTCATTAAAACATGTGTGCCAGATGTCACATATCTTTGTTACATCTGATGAATCTCAGYATTTGTGTACCTCTGGATCTGTTGAACACACGGGATGATAAACACTCTGCCTCCAGCGATCATCAGAGGAGGAGAACGACAGAAACCTGACCGGAGATCACAGATCAGACCAGGTGAAAAGATCAAATCACTGCGATTTTCTCAACTTTTTACTTTAAAACATWTCTCAAAAATCTCCCAAGTTACAATTTAAATAACAGACAAGCTACAAATATATGAAAACAATCACAAAAGCTACAGTTAAAAAAACAGGACCTTCACCTCACCTGACACCACCATAGCCTCGTTTGGACCACAGGTGTAGAACATGTTTCCTTCTTTCTGACTGAAAAATAAAAGTAACATTAAAAACAGCTACTTACATTTAAAGCGCATTTTATTATTAATACATTCTACATTTGGTCTTGTATTTTCACAATAAAAGCCTTAAATGATTAATACTAATCTTCTTTGCTCCTGCTAACACGAAGGGGTGGGTGGTGATGGGAAGATGAACAGACGTAAATTTAATTTACGCAAAGATTGCGCAGTAAAAGTCGGAAAAAAACGCTTAAAAGAAAAACAAAACAAATATTACAGCTATATAGAAAGAAAAAAAACAGGCACCTTAAAAACCGTTACACWTCTAACGGAAATTTTAATCCACTCGCTCTGATGATCCGATTAATTTCCCCTCGAAACATTTGTTTACAATCATGAATTGATGCCAAGACGAACATAAAACACACTTACCGTTTAGGAAATAAAGGATGTGGTTTGAACTGGACAGATTGGATAGATGAATCTGAGTATTTGTTGGTTAAAATCGATGATGTTGTTTCCAGATGAGGTTTTTTTGGATGATAACGACAGAGAGGACTGTTAAATGATGAGATGCAGCTCTGCCTCTCGGGTTGAGCCCGCCCATCGGCCACGCTGTGCGTCACCGCCCCCTGGCGGCGCGGTGGCGAACTGCTRCCTGGAATTATATTATTTACACTGATGGCTTCACAAACTCAAGGATGTTTTTGAACATAACTCTGAAGATTTCTATTCGTTGATCCAACCATGTTGTAAAAATAAAAAAGCCACGAAAAACCATATTAATGTTGAAATGAAAAGTTTTTATTATTTAASAAACAAAAAAGATAAATAAACAATATGACTTTGAATCAATCACGTTTATAAAAATATTCTCAGTACTAAAATATCAGTTCTTTGAGATTTATTTTTCAAATCTATTTTATTTTATATTTGTATTTCAACAGAGCTATCTTTGGTAATAAATGCAACAAGAATAAGAGAATAGACGGTGCATTTTTGAGACAGGCTGCTATTGCCTAAAGCAGTGTTTCCCAAAGTTGGGGTCGGGACCCAAAGTGGGGTCCCGAAACATCAAGGTGGGGTCCTGAAAAGATTTTCTGAATTAATTACATTTTTGCCTTAGTTGTTACAAAGGAGTGAGGTTAGTGTATTTAAAATKGGTAAATGTAGTTTGAAAATATTGTTACTATGCCCATGTTTAGTTGACCTGATACAAATGTTTATCCTCCAAAAATAGTTGGGGTCACAGGTCTCTGCTACTGTTATTTTGTGGGTCAAAAGCTGAAAAGTTTGGGAACCACTGGCCTAAAGAACCAGTTAAAATTTAAATGACCTCACCCCAGATCAGTTCACCATACGTGACCTATATGTGTTAAATCCATGAGTTTTCTCTGGGAAATCTGGTTTCTTCCCACAGCTTAAAAACATGAGGGTGAGAAGTTCAGTTATCTGGGAGAGACTCAGGTAGAGCTGCTGCTCCTCCACATCGACAGGAGCCAGTTGAGGTGRTTTGGGCATCTAAGGATGCCTCCTGGACGCCTCCCTGTAGGGAGATGCTCCAGGCATGTCCAACTGGGAGGAGATGACGATGTTACCCCTTCAAAATAAAGTCAGATTTCTAATTTACAACTACTTCATTGACTTGCAGAACACGCACCTTCACATTCTTCTTACAGAAAAAACATTTAAATTTCCACAAAGATGAAACACTGGATTCAGTGGAAGTCAGTTATTATTGATGCAGCTCCAGCTTTCAGCTGGTAAGCATTAGATAAAAAAAAATAAAAAAGATGTAAGTTATGTTTGTACTCAAATAATTTATTTCACATTAAAACTAATGTGAAGCTAAATTTACCAGAAAACATCTGTTTATCGCAGGTTATTGTGCAGATAATGCAGAGAAAAGGGAAAGAGGGGAGGCTGAACTGCAATAAATAAATAAATAAATAAATAAATAAATAAATAAATAAATAAATAAACCAGTTCCAACAGGGCAACAAATACCGCTCCCACTTCTCTTCCGGTCCTTGCCTTCGAATCACGGAAACCCCTTGCAATCAAAGGCTCACATTTCAACCAATCATCATCCAGGATGAAGAGCCATTAGCCAATCAATAACGAGGAATCTGTGACGGTCCCTCCCAGCCCGTCACGTCCTCCTGTTGGACTCGAAGCCACAAACCAGTTGTCACATTCCTGGTTCGGTCCGGTCCGGTTCGGTCAGCAGGTCAACCTCAGCCCGGTAACTCTCTGTTGACCTTCATCTCTGCCGTCCATCCATCATGAGGGAAATCGTGCACATCCAGGCTGGCCAGTGTGGAAACCAGATTGGGGCAAAGGTAGGGAAAAGTTRGGAAAAATGTCACTATATTCTTTTTCTCAGTTAATTTTTGTTATAATTTAGCTTTTTTTTTTATATTAGAGAGTATTTTCCCCCACCTGTTTCATTTTAATAAGAAACAACTTCATGTTTGTTATTTATTAACTTTTATARTATTAAAGAGATTATCAGAAACACAAACATTTGTTTTATAATCATGCTAAAGTTAGCTTGTTCTTGCTAACCTGCTTATTTTATTTTGAAAGAGTCTTTATGCAAAATAAAACGTGAATTTTTTTTTTACACATATTTAGTTTTAGCTTTATGAAAATATGAAAATAAAGGCTTAATTTAAAAAAAATCTGGAAAATCTGAACTAATTTTAATGGAAAATATTTAAAGGATGATTAAACAAACAGCAAATCACAACTGAAATATATGGATTCACAATGAACCAAAAAAGGTTTATTCAACAAGTTGATTATTATCAACATAAAGTTAAAATGACTGTAAAATAATGATACTCATGGTAATCATCACTTGGGTAGTTTATGAGCATATTAATGACATTTCAAACCTTTAAAGCCGATTATAAAACCAGTGACTCGAGCCATTYGGGCCACGATGATTAATGAGGTGGTCCAGACTGCGGAGGACTCACAGGACCAGCTGCTGTCTTGGACTGTGGTGAGCCTTTGTCACAAGAGAGTGAAAAGAAAGGAGGAATTCGCTGAGGCAGAGGAGAGGAACGCAGCAGGAGGAGGGAGAGCCGGTGGAGATAACAAGTGTTTCAGTGTTTGCTCTCAAAGCTCAGATGAGGTCATTTAAATGGCCTCATTTAGTTTCCAGTCAGTGGGTGAGAAGCAAATCCAAAATCCTGTTTCCTCGTGCACTTTAAATGTCTTTAAATGTCTTTAAATGTCTTTAAATATGAGTTTAGACCTGCATGAACACATCACAAACTCAAAAAATAACAAGACCCAGAAGGTTTAATGGGTCGGAGAGGTTTTTAAACTCTCTGCTTATGTTTGCCTCATTAAACGCTCGTCTGTCKGAGGTTTTCTTGGCTAACGGAGCAGCAACATATGGGATCAGTCCGACTCGGCGACTCGTTGACCCTGATCACCGAAGACACGAGTATTTACAGCAGATTTAGTCGTGGATTAACTCTGCTTGAATTCACAATCTGACCAGAATCCACTCAGATCCCACTTTAGGTGGGATTATTTCTCATAAATATGATTTTAAGTAGAGCTCGTGAAGTCAGAAAGTTTGYAGTTGGCGTTGGGAAAATTTATTTTCAGTTTAAATTTGTCCATTAATGGTTTCAGGTCAACACTGTTCCAGAATAAATAAAATAATCACCTTGCTGTTTTAGTCAAATGGCTTTATTAATAACTAAATAAAGAGGTGACAGCAGTGGAGATTAAAGAGACTTTCCTTCCTCCCCCCCAAACACACCCACTAAGATCCRAACCCTCCTGGTGTTTATCTCACCCCGTCCCCCTGAATTACCCACATTTATTCCACAGCACAGATTAGGGTCAGTCCACTGAGCTGCTGACAGTCGCTGCTCGTGTCCTCACTGGAAACTCTCCATCCCTCTCCGACTGTGAAGAGAGTGTAATCTTAAATCTCAAAGCTGAAGCTGGAACAGAACTAAAAACTCATCCAAACTGTCTGTTATTTATTGAAAAAGCAGGAATTTGTCACATTGTTTCATGTTAATGATGACGCTCTGCTGTGTGTTTAGTTCTGGGAGGTGATCAGTGACGAGCACGGCATCGACCCAACAGGAACCTACCACGGAGACAGCGACCTGCAGCTGGACCGGATCAGTGTGTACTACAACGAAGCCACAGGTGAGCTTAAACTGACTTCAAAATATGTGAAAACTCAAAGTATTTCTTTAACTTCATGATCTTAGACTGCCCCCTGGTGGAGAAACCCACTCACTGCAGCAGAACTGATTTGATGTAAAACAACAAATGCCTGCTTTGTTCATTAAAAAATAAATAAAAGATGTAGAATATTGTAATACATCCTCATTTGCTCTAGAATATTCATAATTAAGGTCAAGTTGTGATAAAGAGCTACACA